CGATCTAACCCCGTTTAGGTCGGCGAAGTATCTCAGAAGTTGTTCGGGCTACATTCGCTACGTTTTCTCCTACTCAGCGCTGGCATCGAGTCAAACCCAGGGCCAGAAACCTACTGTGTATGCCAGAGACGACTACACTACAACTCCACCTCTGTCAAGTGCAATGCCTGAGAGGGGTGGAGTCACCTCAGAGTCTGCTCAGGACTACGGACACATCGGCAGTGGACCACGTCTTTTGTGGCGCCCTGTTGCTGTAACAGAGCAGTCTTCACGGCTAACACCAGTCCACCTGAGCAGTCCCACACAAACACCACAGCACAACAACATAACACAATCGACCACACCACAGCGGCTACAGAACACAGAACACACACAACCACACCACCACCCACACGCCGCCACCAACAACTCCTGGTTCCTCCTACAATCTGCACGGTATGTCAGACCAGGATATTCCGTAATGTGACATCAGTCAAGTGCAACACCTGCCTTGGCTGGTGCCTCTTTAGGGCATGCTCAGGTCTGCGCACCACGCGAGATTGGACGAGGAACTTCGAGGGCCCGTGTTGCGCTGTTCGGTCGCAGACCTCAACTGCGATGCCTCCCGCCACCACCAAGATCGAGGAGATAACCGTCTTCATGGGAAGGCATGGCATATTGATAGCTGCGGTCCAAGAGACGAAGTTGCACAGCAATTCAACACTGTTGAATTGTGCCGGGTACAACGTGCACCGTCGAGATCGCGAGCGGGATAATGGTGGAGGCTTAGCGTTCATTACGCACCACAACGTGCAGTATCGTCTTATCGAAGCAGACATCGACCGAAGGGATACCACCCTAGAATGTCAGGGCATTGCTATCCGGTCAGGCGATGTTGAGCTCGAAATATTTAACGTGTATATACCCCCTGTCCCCTGCTGCCCGGCAGGATATCACCCTGACATAGGTGCGCTCCTCAGAGGTGAAAACCGTATGGTAGTAGGCGACTTTAATGCGCACTACGATCTTTGGCACTCAAGCCTGTCAAACGATCGTAGGGGAACTGACTTGGCTGGACAGATCGACGATTCGACATTCACCAGGATTATGGGCAGCTGCTGCAGCTCGTCAGACATAACAATAGTCAGGGCTGGTCTGATAAACTGCATATCATAGCGACCTAAGCTGATTTTGGCATCAGACCACCTGCCCATAGTCATCTCGATCGATAAACCAACCGACTTTGCTTCCGCGGAGCACCGAACATATATCAACTTTTCTAAAGCTGATTCGAAAGGCTTCGCGGTGAACCTTGGTGAACGTAAGTTCCGCAGGGCTGTCACCGCTGCTGCAGCTCGCTTCGTACCGGCAGGATGTATCACCGACCCACGCCCAAATTTCCCTGCTGAAGCGGCTGTTCTAG